TACTATAAAAACTAAATTACAATTTTTAAATAATAATATGTTTTGTATTTATGTCACAAATAAATTCAAATATTTATATATATATAAAAGATATTCATATGTATAATTTAATTGGACATAAATAAGAAATTATTCTATTTTATTTAATTATTCTTATTTTTGTTATCTAAATATGTAAGATTGAAGTCAAACTATTTTTAATGTACATATTATATTTAAATTTATGTCACAATAAAATTAAAATATTGATATATATATAAAATATATATGTTAATTTAATCTGGACATAAAAAAGAAATTATTCTAATTTAAAAATAAAAAAGAAATTATTCTAATTTATTTTTTATTATTTATTTTTTATGTTAATGTATAATATTGAAGTCAAACTATTTTTAATGTGCATAATATATATTTAAATAAAATAAAATGTATATAAATTTATAAGCTGCAACGACTATAACCATGTCGAAGTGTCATTTAGCTATGCACACAGAGTATAAACTAGTCCAACATTTAGTTCCAGCTGCCAGCTAGTTTGTGGTGCTAGTTCTTGTGCATTTGCTCGCCGCTTGCTAAATTACAGGATAACGCCCAGCAAAGTTAATCAATCATGCACACGCTGAACTTTTTATATAATCAAAGCATACTTTTAGGTGTTCCGCAGCTGTTGCTGCTGCTGCTGCTGCCGCTGCTGCGAATTGGCGCCGTAGCGCGTCGTGTAGGAAAACTTTGATGAATTGTGCGCTGTAGTGCTGCATGCTAATGAAAGAATTCGATTTATTTAGGCCACGCCCACATAAATCTGTTTTCGGCAACTTTGTGGCTGCTCTTTGGCATAAGAACGAGACATAATAGAGCGTGCTCCAAACTGAAACTGAAACTGGAGATGGAGCTGAAGCTGCCTTGGTGCCTGCGCTGCCATTATGCGCCGAGCTCGAACAGACCACATAACAATCATGACTGTTCCTTAAAGTTTGCAGCGGCAGCAGTGGCAGCAGCGCGCCAACAACAACATAAATTCATTAGTTGCTAGACAACGGATTGCAGCCGAGGAGCAGCAGGACTCTGCATCAGCTCCTTGTGCACTTATCCCCTCCCTCCCCTCTCTCTCTCTCTCTCTCTCTAAACCCATTGCACCGCTCTTTTAAGTAGCTACAAAATTTATGACGTCACTTTTAGTTGGTCGACGACTTTATTTCACTCGTAGAGGAGCAGCAGAAGAATGCCGGAATGCTGCTGGAAATGGAGCATTCAACTTATTCCTTGTTTTACACTTCGCAATCGACCAAGCAGCGAGCTGCACTGTGGGCAGCATAAGATGCATAAACCATGAAGCCTCCAGCGATCTGATAAGCAAAGGACTTTGCTTACGTAATGAGAGTTACGCTGAAATAGGAGCGCCATCTGTTGGAAATTATTATTTGTCATTTGGAACTGTAAACTGCCATGAAGTCGTTGGGAAACCTAAGCTCCTGAAGAGCTTAGAACTAACTGAGCTAGTTATGTTCTATAAGACAGTTTTCCTTAGATACCCTCTTTCATTTTCATGGTAATTTTTGTAATCCTTCCCACTAGTTCCCCTTCGAGTCAAAGAGTGTGCAGCAAATGTGCGATATTTGCGATTTACGTGTCCATAAGTCGGCTACTTGATATATATCTACATACATACCTCCTGGCATTTTACTGTTGTCACACGCACCCAACCGCATGACGGCAGGGAGTTCGTCCTCCGGCCACATGGGAACGGACACGCCAGTCACCATACAACGCTCGCTCTTTGGGGAATATAAAATGCTTGTGTTATGTTCTGATTTTGTCTTTTATGACCCCGATGTGAACGATTATGGCGGCAAATGGAGCCGTAGCTGTTGATGTTGATGTTGGAGGCGGTTGGGGGCGATGTACGCTGTTTGTCACAGCCAAGGTGTTAAAAGAACGTCATGCACAATCTCGCTCTCTTCCTCTCTCTCCCACTCTCTTCCTCTTTCTTCTTAGATGCATTTACCCATAACGGTGTGCCGAGCACACATCCACTGTCAGCTGCCACAGCGTGTCAGATTTGCTTTCGCCTGACAGGCGTCGCGCAGACGTGCCAAGGATAACGCCAGAGCATCGAGAGTGTCACACAAAACTTTGCCGCCCAAGGAGGAGGGGCTGTGCGCGGCGAGGGCGGCGGCAATCGGGGCGTGACAGCAGCTGCTGCTGCTCCTGCTGCTGCTGCTGCAGCTAGTTGTGCTAGCTGCTGCTTTAAATACAAATGATTATTATATGCAGTCGTTCGGTCAGCGTGGACAGCGCCAAATCCAATCAACGCTGCGTATACTTGATGGCGACAGTGGCTATGAACCGTGGCTCTTACATTGCGGCAAATTCGATTTGCCAAGATCAAAGCAACAAGCAAACAGCCACTTGAGGCACGCAACAGCAGCAGCTGTTTGCTTGCGGTGGCTATGATGAAATGAGACATACCCTATTTTAATATGAAAACTGGAATGATAAGGTAGGCTAAAGATATAGGAAAGTCTGAATTTATACAGTCAAATTGCAGTAATATATATCAGAATATCTTTTTACCAAATTAAATACAAATTAAATACGAAATATCATACTTTTTAGTCCGCCATGCAAATTAAATTAAATTTATTTTTCAACAGGTTATTTTTACAAAATTCCACACATTTTTATCTTTTTATTAATTTTCTAATAACTTCTTGATATTTTTCCGCAGTACATTTTTTTTAAATTTTAAAATTAAAAATTTGTTTTGAAATCTTTTACACTTCTTTAAGAATATCAAAAATTTCTATCATTTAAATTATTGTTTTGTATAATATTGCTCTACATGCGAAATTTTTTGGTTTTCTCAGTGTTTTCCATTAGTCCAACGATTTTTGTCTGCAAGTGTTGTAAAAGTCCT